CCCCAACAACGCCTCCGCCCGCGCAGCAACGCAGTCGTCACCACCACACGACCGACCGACCGCCTTGACACTCCCAGCCCGACGACAGACCATCACACGACCTGCATCGTCGGCATCTGCGACATACCCACGGCCCCTCTTCTGACCGTACGCCCCGCGGCCTATCCTACGGAACATACGGAACAGCGCCATAGGCGGCCGTGTTCGCGACTCTCGACCGTCTTGCGACTGACCGGAACGGGCATCCCGTCGTTGGGCCCGCGAACCTACCTCCCCGGCACCGCGCGCGACCGGCACCATGGGCGCGTTGCTGTCGCTCCCGATGCTGGCTGTGCCCAGCATGGGAACGGTGCGTCCACCGCCGTGGCCACGCGACCAGGGCCTCCGCTAACCGCCAACAGCTCGTGTCCTTTGCCGCCAGCTGCTGCGGCGCTGCGACTTGCTCCATGGTCTGCAGTGCTTGCGGCAAGTGCGGCAACAGGTATGTCCTGTCCTCTGGCCGTGCGCCATAGCACAAGGCAGGCAAAGAAATGGCCTCTGACCTGGCAATGCAGCGTCGCTACCCGTATCGCATACGCCCTACTTCTGCTCGTCAACTCCATTCTCGCATGGGTCATGCTCACGCCCTGGGCCATTGAGAAGCTGCAGCACCTCACCCTCGACTACGTCAAGATCAACTGCCCCAATGGCCAATGCTATGGCTGGCTGGCCGTGCACAGAATCAACTTCGCCCTCGGTCTCTTCCACCTGGTCCTGGCCGGCTTGCTGTTCGGCGTCAGCTCCTCCAAGAGTCCGCGCGCAGCCATTCAAAACGGATATTGGGGCCCCAAGATCATTGCCTGGCTGGCCTTGATCGTCATGGCCTTTCTCATTCCTGATAGGTTCTTCATGGTCTACGGCAACTACGTTTCCTTCATTTGCGCCATGCTCTTCCTCATCCTCGGCCTCGTTCTCCTCGTCGATCTTGCCCATACCTGGGCCGAGTATTGCCTTGCCCAGATCGAGGACACCGACTCAAGACTCTGGCGCTTCATCCTCATCGGCTCCACCCTGTCCATGTACCTGGCCTCGTTTGCAATGACGGCCGTGCAGTATGCCTTTTTCGCTGTCGGCGACTGCGCCATGAACCAGGCCGTCATCACCATCAACCTCATCCTCTGGCTGGCCATATCATTCATATCCGTCAACCCCACCGTCCAGGAGTACAACCCTCGCGCGGGCCTCGCGCAGGCAGCAATGGTCGCCGTCTATTGCACATATCTCACCATGTCGGCCGTCTCAACCGAGCCTGACGACAAGCAATGCAACCCGCTCCTCCGGGCCCAAGGCACCAGAACCACTTCGGTTGTCATCGGCGCCATTGTCACCATGCTCACCGTTGCATACACCACGACTCGCGCTGCCACGCAGAGCCTCGGGCTTGGCGGCTCATCCCACGGCATCCGACTTCCGGACGAGGACGAGCACGACCTGGTCACTCAACAGCCCAGCGCCCGGCGCGAGATGCGTGCCGAGGCCCTGCGCCGGGCAGTTGAGGAAGGCAGCCTTCCCGCTGACGCGCTTCTGTCCGACGACGAAAGCGACGCTGGCGTTGATGCAGCGCACGATGACGAACGAAACCGTACCCAGTACAACTACACCATGTTCCACATCATCTTCTTCCTCGCGACGGCTTGGGTCTCGACTCTCCTGACTCTCCAGTACAATGAAGAGGAGAACGGAGGTGACTTTGCGACAGTCGGCCGGACGTATGCTGCCAGCTGGGTCAAGATTGTGAGCGCCTGGCTGTGTCACGGCTTGTACATCTGGACTTTGGTTGCGCCAGTCCTGTTGCCTGATCGATTCGACATGTCTTGAGCCGGACACGTCGTGGCTCGATTTCGCGGCATGTCTGACAGCCCTGCTTGGTCACGGCCGGCTTCTTCTGCTCAGGGTGGTATTGCATCGTTTTCACAGCAAGGGCATTTGGGTATGTGATTGTACAATGGAGTTCTCTATTGTTGTTCCAGCATAAAACATCGAAGGCGTAATTGTGTCTGAAATATGCCTTGCCCAGCCATTCTTTTAACGGCCTCGTGACATTATGCCCCAAGCTCGACTGCTCCTCTTGCACCCATGCCGGCACCGCTGGGCAGCCTTTCTCTTACCCTGACTGTGAATCCACTTTCTTCCCATCGATCCGGTCCGGTCCGCGCGCTACCATTCAAGACTTGCCAGGTGCATGTCTTGTTCGTACTCTCGAAACGACTCTTCGGTCATAAGCGACTCCGCAACAGCAGGGCCAAGGGGTCCGGTGGCAGCGCCCCCCCTACGGCCCATGTGCGCCGCGAGGTTGGATTCAATGCCTAATGTGCAGCCGGCCTTCCCCGCCGATCGCACACGTGGTCGTAGACAAATGTCAATACTTGTTCATGAAGGCCCCAGCCCCACAAGCAAGCCGATCCAACATGTACGCCTCGTGGCAGTGCAACTGCTCTCAGCACACGGCGTTGACAGGCTTTGCGCTGTTGTCGGCAAGGCGGGGTGTCTCAAGTTCCGACGGATTAATCCACCGTTAAAGGTGTCTTACCCAACTCTTCGGCGGCGCCGGTGGCATGGAATCCGTCGAGCGTGACTGTCACAGCGCCCGCTTGCACTAGCTGTTCAACGTGGTCAGTCCGATGCCCATCACCTCGCAATGTCGGCTATCCGAGTCAGGCTGCTTACCGCGCGAGAAAGATCTTCGATCAAGTCATTTGCATCCTCGATTCCGACACAGAGCCTTATAATGTCCTCAGGCATCTGGCGCTCCCTTCTCGTCTTGGCGTCTATGCTCGCGTGACTCATCTGGCAAGGCATGCTGATAAGGCTGTTAACACATCCGAAGCTAACGCTGATTGCCCACAGCCGAGCTGCTTCCACGATTCGCTGCGATACCGTCGCATCTCCGGTCTCAAAGGAAAGCACCGCGCCCGCTCCTCGAGCGATGGACCAGTGCAAATCGTACTGAGGGTGAGACTTGAGGCCGGGATACCGGACGCGGAAGCCACGAGACTCAAGAAACTCAGCAATAGCCTGGGCGTTGGCCTGCTGCTTCTCCATGCGAATGGCAAGGGTCTTGACGCCCCTCATGAGGAGGAACGAGTCGTTGGGGGAGAGCCCGCAGCCAGTGGAATTGATGGTGAAGAATAGCTTGTCGCCGACGGAAGCGTCATTGCAGGCAATGACGCCGGCCATGATGTCATGGTGGCCCGAGAGATACTTGGTGCCGGACTCGTATACAATGTCTGCGCCGAGATCCAGAGGGTTGCACAGCATGGGGGACAGCATGGTATTGTCGACGACAACCAATGCCTTGGAGTTGGCATCGTGGGCCATGCGGGCGATAGACGACAAATCGACAATCTTGATGAGGGGGTTGGTCGGTGTCTCAAGCAGAACCATGGCCGTCTTCTCCGAGATGCGGCTGGCAACAGACTCGGGATTGGTCGTGTCGACATGGTGGACGATGATACCTTGGTTGGTCGCCATGTACGTGAGCAGGCGATGGGTGCCGCCGTATAGGTCGTCGCCCGTGATTACTTCATCGCCTGGTCGAAGGAGGCGGGTGATGACATCGAGGGCACCCATGCCGGAGCTGACGGCCAAAGCGCGGTTGGCGTTCATGATTTTGGCGAGATGCCTCTCGAGATGAGTACGAGTGGGATTGCCAGACCGCGTGTAATCGAACTCTTGCTGGCCGCCGTTGGCCGAAGTCTGCTTGAACGTGGCAGACTGGTAGATGGGGATGCTGGAGGCGCCGTATTGGTCCTTGCCCTCGGTGTAAACCAGTTCGGTCGCGAGAGCGTAGCGCCGGCGACCGTTGCGAGGGCTAGAAGGCGCGGGAGAAGGGGGGAGGTCGTGGCCATCGAGATCGACTCGCTTCAAGGGGTTGGCGCTCGTGCCGCCCATTTTGCCGGCGGAAGCGGAGGCAGCGGAGGAGGAAGATGGCGAAGGAGAAGCGGATGACGCCGACGTCGTGGCGGCGGCGGCGGCGGCGCTGTTGCTGCCGGGGGGGAGAGGCGGCGACACCATGGTGCCGGAAGAGGAGGGCAGAACGGACTGCCGGTACCGGGCTGCGTCAGGATTCGAGGATGAGGCGGGGATCCGTACACGAGGCGTGTTGATAGGATCGATGCAGAGGAGGGAAGAGGCAGCGTGGCTGTAGGGTTGATGGCTCAGAGGTTGTGCGGAGCAAGATGAAGATGAAGGTCGGCAGCTGTCAAGATGCAATGCAAGACAAGAAGAGGTGGGCAACGAAAAGTTGCTTGCGAGGTGTGACCGACTGACTCTGGGAAGGTGCGCGACAGGACCGGTGCCGTTATGCGGTGCGGCGGGCACCTGCCAAAGTCCACTGACTGCATGCCAATCAAGGGTCGGCGACAGCGGGTGGGAGCCCGGGCTCTGAGCGGAGGGGCCAGCGCCGACCCCAGCGGTGTCGCAATGGCGGGCGCCGCACCGGCTCCCGGTTCGCAAGCGCCTTGAACTAAATGGAAGGTTCGTTCCAATGGAAGGACATGGGCGGGAGCCATCTCGGACAGGACTGCCAGTGTGGGTGGGCTGCTGGCTGCTGAGGTGGGGAGGAGAAGGCGCGTCGAGTCTGGGGTACCTCGCTGTGCGCCAATGCCGTGACTGCCCACGAAGTACGGATACCTAACCTTCCTTTGGCCCACCGGCCGTACCGCTGGAGCGCACCTGGGCAGGTACTACCTACGCATGGTGGGAGCCAGGCTGGAGCCCTGGAGGGCAGGGGCCACCGCCTCCTCCGCGTTCCCACCGCCCCGGGCAGGGATGAATGGATTGCGTGACGCGCGCGGCCTTCGGGTCAGCTGCAGCGGTTACCGGCGCTTGCCAGGAGAAAATGATTCAAGTCTTTGTGCAGCTGGCCGGTCTCGTCATGCCATGCCACCGTCCATAGGCAGACGAGAGTCCTCCAGAGCATTGCCCAAGGGCGTTTGGCCGATTGACAAGGCCCTGATGCCGCGGAACGCACTGGAGGGAGCGAGGCCCAGCCCCGAGACGCAGACTGGGTTCCTGGGTCTCGCGCCAGCATTGGAGCTGCAAGCTGGTCTCGCCCGCCCAAGGCGCCGCGCCGTCTTCGGACACTGCCTCTGGTCACCCGCTGGTTGGGTTGGTCTGCCAGCATAGGGAGACACCTTGGGCGACGCCGGCAGCCACACATTTCAACAGGTATATGGTTAGCAAACGACCCGACACAACAACGTAGGCCCCATGAAAATGACGTGATTGCCAACGGGAGCCGGCCGCGCTCGCCCCCAACCGCCACGGGCATCCGAGACCAACAAGCGCACCGTCGGTGTGCACGGCAATGTCGACGACACGGCCTCTGTGCCGCGATGGCCGGCGATCCAGCAACAACAGACACAACCCGCCGTGGTACATTACTGAACAGTACTCTTGAATCCAATACTCTCGACCACTGCACTGTACTGTAGCGTGTGGTAGGTAGGTGGTCTGTGAGCGCGAGATGTCATGCGTACATGTACAAGAAATGTGTTCCCCCCTAGCTAGGTATCCAAGGCCTCTCCTCTCTCCCTGCGTGCTTGCCACGTCTAGTCCTGCTCCTCAGCAACCGGCTCGTCCACGTCTTCGTACTCATCGCTCGAGCCCTTCCCCATCGACTTTGCCTGTGATGGCTTCTTCGCACCTAGTGCGCGAGTCGGTGGCTGTCCACTTCGTCGGCCGTAAAAGTCATCTGTCCTGACGCCACGAATCTGCGACGCGTCTACGGCTGCCATGCGCCGGCCTTCTGCACGGTGCTGTCGCATGTACTCCCGCACGGGTGCCATGGCCGCGTCCCGACACGCCTCCTTGATGTCGCTTCCCGACATGCCCGCCGTGATTTTGGCCACGTAGTCGACATCGAAATCCTCCGGGTCTGTCTTCGTGTCCTGCAGGATAAGCTGCAGGATCCGGCGCCGCTGCTCCTGGCCCGGCAGTGGCACCGGGAACTTTTTGGGCATGCGCCTGAGGATGGCCTCATCGATATCGTGGATACGGTTTGTTGCACCTAGAACAACGATTTGCGCCGGCAGGCCCGACGCGTTCGCCGACGTGAGGCCGTCCCACAGGGTCATGAACCTATTGTCCCGTCGAGTCAGTCATGTCATCCTGCACTTCTCATCAGATCGGGGGCTCGCATACTCAGCCTTGACCATGCCGCTGGCTTCATGCTCACCGCTGCGTCGTGTGCCCAGCACCGCATCGATCTCGTCAATAAAGATGATGGCGGGCTGCATCTTGCGAGCCAGCGAGAACACAGCACGCACAATCTTGTTGGAGTCGCCGTACCACTTCTCCGTCATGGTCGATATGTGCAGGTTGATGAACGAGGCACCGCTTTCGTGAGCCAAGGCCTTGGCGAGCATTGTCTTGCCGCATCCCGGGGGGCCGAACAAGAGAACTCCTGACGGCGCTGAGAGCAGCGGCGCAGCATGTGAGTAGAGATGAGGCATCGTTAGCGGGTAGATAACGGACTCCTTGAGCTCCTCGATGATCGGCTCAAGCCCACCAATATCTGTTCCATCACCAGGTTAGATATATGACTAGTGTCGTGGGCCTCCTCATAGCCGACTCACCGTCAAACCCGACGTGGATGTCCTGAGGCGCCACCATCTCCAACGCGATCAGGTTCTCATACTCGTTGAGAACCAGCTCCTCGGCGCGCGGCCCTCTCCTTGAGCCGCCAACCTCCTCGTCTTCATCTTGTTCTAGGCTTCGCTGGCGGTTCAGTCGTTCCAAATGTGCCTTGGCTTGGCGCCGCGCCTGCTCGTGCTTCTCCTTGTCCGGGTCGGCTAGGTTGCTTAATATAGGGTTGAGGAAGTTTCGGGCCACGTACAGTCCGGCTGTCATCTGAGTGGTGGCGACTTTAGCAAGAGACCGTACGCTCTCAAGGTAGGAAAGGGAGGCTCCCGTACCATGCCCGCAAAGAGCAACACATCCATGGCGACATCGCCAAGTTTCCGTCGTTCCCCCATGCCGACAAGCCAGCGCAGCCACGGGGCTGACTGGTCGGGCATCAGGCAGCTTGCCGACGCAAAGTTGAGCGCGAGGCAACGCCTCGGTCAATTACGGTGTGACAGCAAGAGGCAGCAATCGTAGCCAGAGGTGGAGACGAGGGAGAGGAACTGGCTCGTTTAGCTGTCGTGAGGTCGGTTGCCAGGGGCGTCAGGAGCACCCGCCAGATGGGTACGGCTGAGGTACGAGAGGCGGTAGGTCAGACCAGACAGCCAATGCTGGAACAGTCTTTGCACTTTGCCGGAAGCCTTGAATTCGTTGTGGTTGACTGTTGCAGCATGGGAGAGAATGGCCGTGGCGATGGCGCGAAATGGCTTCTCTTCGGCGAGGATATCGGAAGAGAGTTGGTTGCAAGGTTATGACAACATTCCATGCTTCACAGGTGCATGTCGCAGTGTGACGAGCCGAAAACCGACCGACGAATGGAAGATCCTCGGCCTCTCGTGGAAGGCCCTGGGGTGACTTACGTAAGACATCCTGCCACCCTACCGTCCCGCCCGTCTTTGTTTACATGCAGCCCAAAATGGAAATGGGCAAGCACTTGTCGCCGCAAACCATCCCCAGCCGTCTTGTTACGCAGTCCAGCGATCGCGACGCCGAAACCGTTCTCAGTCCACCATCCCGAAGACATCCGCACCCACGAGCGACACCTGCAGGACGCCTTTTCTTGGACCCTCATCTCCCAGTGGCTTCCCACGAAGCCCACTCTCAACGCGTGGGATCGCGCAACGACACCGGGGACGCAATGGCCCCTCGCGCAAGAACCGCCAGCAGTCTGGCTGGCTTGGTCGCGTCGGACTCGGAGCCGGACTTCGACGACATCCAAGCCATCACAGCGGTGGCGAAAATGGCAGCAGCTACCAAGAGACCCCGCGGCCGGCCCCCCAGTACGGCAAACAAAGTCTCAAAGCCCGTCCCGCAAGCCGCCACACGTCGGGCTGGCGGCAAAGCAGTCGTCTCAGCCTCCGGGCCGCCTAGGCAGGCACTGGCGGACAAGAGCAACACCTCCTTCGTGCGTGGTACTGGAAACGGTGCCAAGAAGGGGTCGCAGAACAACGCGAAGACAGAACTAGGGCTCGACGAGCAGGGCGGCGAACCGGTGGTTCCAAAAGCGACTCGCGGACGCCCGAAAGGGTCTGGAAAGCGCAAAAGTGCGGGAACTGAGGTGGCTACGGAGAAGCCAGGTCAGGCCGACTTCGAAGAGATTGCAGAGACTCAACCAACACCGGAGTCCATGCAGGTCGATGCCGAGGAGTCGCAGCTGCTCGCCGATGATCGGGATCTGGACGATGGTATGGACGAGAGCAACTCCGTCGCTGATGGCGGCGTAGAAGACGTGTCGCTGAGGCGCCGCCTCGGCAACCTGACGCGGAAATACGAACATCTGGAGACGCGATACAGGGACTTGAAGGACGTCGGGGTCAAGGCAGCCGAGCGCAACTTTGAGCACCTGAAGCGGCAGGCCGACGAGAATATTGCAGGTAAGACAAGCGCAACCTGCTTGGGTCGATGTGGCTGCTAACAATGGTGAACTTTAGGCTCAAACGAGCTCATAGCTCAGCTTCAAGCGGAGCTGGCGTCGCAGATTGCTCTCGCTCAGGAGGGCGAGAGGGTACGGCAGGAGCTCAGACAAAGCGAGAACCATGCAGAGACGCTCCAGATCCGCGTGGATGAGCTGACGGCGTCCCTGACGGCGGCGCGGACCGAGATAAAAACACTGTCCACAAAGCTGGCCGCGAGCAGGAGTGCAGAGGCGCATAACAAGGCCCCGGGAAGTGCACTCAAGGGCGGGACTGCGGCCAGTAGAACTGCACAGTCCGAGGCGCTGCATGCCCTCCAGGCAGCGCAAGCCAAGGAGGATCTCTATGGAGACCTAACGGGCCTGATCGTGAGGGGTCTGAGGCAGGGAGACGAGGAAGACATGTTCGACTGCATTCAGACGGGCCGGAACGGAAGTAAGTCTCACACCCCTTGACAAGGTGGGAAAGCGCAGACTCTGACAGGTCCTGCAGCCCTGCATTTCAAGCTGGCATTGGAGCGCGCCGATGGAGGCGACAGCTACGAAGACGTCCAGTTCACATACAAACCGCAGCTGGACAAAGACCGTGACGGCGAGCTGATAGAGATGCTCCCGGACTACCTGAGGGAGGAAATTACGTTTCCCAGGCCGCACGCCTCCAAGTTTTACAGCCGAGTCACCAAATCTCTGACGGAGCGGGTGGATTAGAAACCTGGACGATGCAGAGGCGGACGCGGATAAGTGACGTTGGGAGATGGCAATCGGCAGCGCGCATTGGCATGGCGAGCGAGGCTGTGGGCAGTGCATTCATGTTTTGTTGATACCCTCTATTCCCGACAGCCAGCAGACTCGTGAGCCAGCGTGTTGGCGACGGTTTTGCCCGCAGCTACTAGGCGCAAATGAAGGATGCAGCCCTTCGCGGCCGGCTGTTCTGTGCTGAATCACTGAACCTGTCTGCCGCAGCGGACCGCAAGCGCACACTTCCCTCGGAAAGAAGTCGTGATGTCGTCCTGCCTTTTGCGATGGATGCCCTAGGTACCTAAATACCGTACACACTGATGACACTGTCGTGGCATCCGATGTTGAGGCTGCGATGAAAGCCCACGGATTGCTAGGAGCGTCAATTATGTACGACCATGGAAAGGCAGCGAGCGTTTCGTCGAAAAGTGGCTACAGCAGCGCGTCGTGGGGATGACGCGACGGAGGCCCTTCTAGGCGCTAATTGGCCCAGCCAGGCATTCGCGGCAAGTCGCCAAAGGTATTGGATACCCAGCGCTCCCGCCAACGGCACGGTCCCGTCCCTGCCACGTGTTGCGTCAACCAGCACGGGGCCCCCCAACCTCAGTCCGTACCTCTAGTACGCTTGAGGTCGTTCAGCGGCGTGGAATTGCTGCGGCCGCTCACTGGACGAATGGCTGGCATTCAAGTACCGGTACTCTGCCGCTACTTCGTGCTCGCGGCCGATCCGATCAGGGAACCCTGACGGCCACTTCTCCCGCCGCCCCTAATTACTGCTAGGGTCTGCCAGGCAACGCTCTCAGAACTTTGGTTTGCCGTTCAACTCCGAGAAATCCAGTGCTGGCTTGGGGGATCCAACGCCTCGACATCCGACTCGTCTTGCCCCACGCATCCCGAGGCCAGCACGGTATATCATGAGGCCGCACTGAAATTCCACGGATAGGACTCGCCGTCAATCTCTTTGCTGTCGCCGCCGCAGGCCACGCCCCAACGCGTCGCCATGGCCGCAGTCACTCGTTTTGCCTTCCTGGCCACGGCCATCGTCTTCCACCTCGTCTACATCTTCTCCATATTCGACATTTACTTCGTCAGTCCGATTGTGTCGGGCATGCGATTGTTCGCCGTGGACCGCCCTGCGCCGGCCAAGCCCCCAGCAGATCGCCTTGTGCTCTTCGTCGGTACGACACGTGCTCTTCGTTACTCGCCCTCGAGGCTTCTTTCGCTAACGAATGGCTACTTCACTAGGCGATGGATTGCGCGCAGACAAGGCATTTCAGTCCTTCCCCGAGCCGTACCCTGAGTCGGATCAAGACCTCGTCCCGCGCCCCCTCGCGCCCTTCTTGCGTTCCCGCGTCCTGTCCGAGGGAACGTTTGGCGTATCCCACACCCGCGTCCCCACCGAGTCGCGTCCCGGCCATGTCGCCTTGATTGCTGGCCTCTACGAAGATGTCTCTGCCGTCGCGACAGGCTGGAAGCTGAACCCTGTCGACTTTGACAGTGTCTTCAACCGCAGCCGCCACACGTGGAGCTGGGGCAGCCCTGACATCCTGCCCATGTTCGAGCGCGGCGCCGTCCCTGGCCGTGTGGACGCCGTCACATACGAGCCTGAATTCGAAGACTTCTCCCAAGACGCAACGCGACTAGACTACTGGGTCTTTGACCACGTCAAGGCCTTCTTCGCTGAGGCGGCCACCAACCAAACCCTTGGTAAAGCCCTCCGTCAGGACAAAAACGTCTTTTTCCTTCACCTGCTCGGGCTCGACACGACCGGACACTCCTATCGTCCATACTCGAAAGAATATCTCCACAACATCAAAGTCGTCGACCAAGGGGTCAAGGAGGTGACCGAGTTGATCCAGAAGTTCTACGCCGACGACCGGACGGCCTTTGTCTTCACCGCCGATCACGGGATGAGCGACTGGGGTAGTCACGGCGACGGCCATCCAGACAACACACGCACGCCCCTGATTTCGTGGGGTGCTGGCGTCGCGCGTCCCGAGCTGCATTCCGGGTCAGTTGCTCCCGGCCACGACGACTACTCCTCCAGTTGGGGCTTGGATCAGGTGCGGAGGAACGACGTCGCCCAAGCCGACGTCGCGGCTCTCATGTCCTACTTGATTGGAACCGAGTTTCCCGCAAACTCTGTGGGCCAGCTTCCGCTCTCGTACCTGTCCGCCAGTACTCGCGAAAAGGCACAAGCCTTGCTGGTCAACGCCCAGGGTATCTTGGAGATGTACCGCGTTAAAGAGGAGAAGAAGAAGGAGACGGAGCTGCGATTCAGACCGTATCCCTTCCTGGGTGACGACGGCGTCTCGCCCGATCAACGCGTCTCGGCCATTCAGGGGCTTATTGCGGCCGGCAAGTACGAAGAAGCCATTGAAGAATCGGACGCGCTTATCGGCATCGCGTTGGAGGGCCTCCGTTACCTGCAGACCTACGACTGGCTGTTTCTGCGCGCTCTCATCACTGTTGGGTATCTCGGCTGGATGGCATATGCCATCACCAGCGTCATCGACACCTTTGTTTTGCACGAGAGCATAGCGCCCAAGCGCACAGCCGGTGGCTTGGCCGCATTTTCGTCCATTCTCGTCGCGCTGTACGCTTCATTCCTGGTCTCCAAATCGCCGTTGACCTACTACGCATACGCATTCTTCCCTGTTGTCTTCTGGGAAGAGGTATACGCACACCGAGACAGCTTGATCTTGGGCCGCAAAGCCCTTTTCGGGCATATCGCATCGGCAGGAGCCGTGGCAACATTGGTAGGGCATGCGGTGCTATCCGTGGCCATTGTTCAGTGCTTGGTAGGTCTTGCAAGTGTACTTACTCCGACCTGGTTCCAGCATCTGACGCAGCACAGGCGCTCAGCTACATCTATCGCGAAATCCTCACGGGGATTTTCATCCTGGCGGCGACGTGGCCGGCAACATACGGCGTCTTATTTCTGCGGAAGCACGCGGGGTTGAGCCTTGCATGGATCGTTTCTTGTCTGATTATGAGCATTTTCACTTTGCTCCCTGCTATGAAGGCAGAAAACGTCACCCTGATGTATGTCAAGAAGCGCTCTCTTTGCGCCGCAGGCCGTACTAACATGGGGATCCACAGTCTTGTTGGTGGAACAGCCATGACGGCCCTGGGCGTTCTGTACCTAGCTTTCGAGAGCCACATCTTGTCCGACTTCAGAAGCCAACCGACAACGACAGCTCCCAAGACAGATGACACAATCAGGCGCACAATAATAGGCGCGCAGGTATGGCGGACCCCTCGATGATGTGCATGATGGAAGCTGACAGCTTGCCCGGCAGGTTGGTCTGGTGCCGCTGGCCATGTTTGTGACCCGCTCGAGCGCCTTGAGCCTGCAAGCGAAGCAGGGCCTACCCGTAGGCAATCAGATTGTGGGATGGGCTGTCCTAGGTATATCCACCTCCGCCATGTTGACTGCGTGCCTCCTACGCCGTTGCGGGCGAGGGCCAGTGCTGACGAGAAACGTAGTCGTGTCGCTGTTCATGCCGCTGGCGTATCGGCTGCAGAGCAGCACTCACTACATGCATCGGCTAGCTGTGATATTCCTGACGTGCGCGCCCACCTTTGTCATCTTGACGATATCGTACGAGGGCCTGTTCTACGTGGCCTTCAGTATCACGCTTCTCTTGTGGGTTCGGCTCGAGTACGCCGTTGAGACACAGGTTGCGAAGGCGAGCCTTATGAATGGAGCGGCGTCAGGGCATGACAGCGGCCGCGTCGGGAGCCCCAAGTACAGGCCGTTGAGGCTGTCGGATGCGCGCGTGGCGCTGTTCTTCATGGTGCTTCTGCAGTCGGCGTTTTTCAGCACGGGCAATGTGGCATCAGTCTCGTCCTTTAGCCTGGAGAGCGTGACGCGTCTCATCCCCATCTTCGACCCCTTCTCACAGGGCGCGCTCCTGATCCTGAAGATCATGATACCATTTGCGCTGATCTCTGCGAACCTGGGGGTGCTCAACAAGCGGCTCGGGGTGGCGCCGTCGGCGCTCTTCATGGTGGTCATGGCGGCAAGCGACTTGTTGACGCTCTACTTCTTCTGGGTGGTCAAGGACGAAGGGTCTTGGCTGGAGATTGGGTCGACAATCAGCCACTTTGCCATTGCCAGTCTTCTGTGCGTGTTTGTGGCCGGCCTCGAGGCAGTCAGCGCCATGTTTATCGCCGGCATCGAGGTGGACGAGGGTCGCGATGGCGAAGAAGCGCGGAGGGTGAGGCCAGATGCGAGCAACGGCCACGGGACAAAGAGAGTGGCGGGCGGGAAGCCGACCAACGGGACGGCGAAAGGCTGACGAGCGTTGCAGGCCAAGCGGCATCTCATGAATAGATATGGAGCGCGGCTCGTTTAGATATAGACCCGACGGGACGATGGAAGCTGCGGAGGAGGAGCGGCCCGCGTCCCGTAAATGCCAGGACCCGTTTCTTCTTACCCTTTCGTACAGGGGCAAGTCGCAACGCCCCTCACGGGTGTGAGGTGCCCGCCCAGACGCACGACCTACCTTGCTCGTACGTAGTGCATAATACGGAAAAGCTTTTTTGGCAACAATGGCTGGCGTCTTGAAGAGTGGACCGGTAGCAATGCTGTGGATGAACGGGCTTGTATTGAAGGCGTTGACAGGCACCGAGAAGGGGGCCTTTGACGGCCCACTGGCGGCCTGGCTGCGTGCGTACGCATCATCTACGTGCCTTATTTGGGTGCTCGTTGGTGCCAACGGCTATGTTGCCCGCGTGGCACGCATGCAAGTGCTGCTTGATGTGTTGTCCGTAGGCCTGTCTGTTGCGTGAGTTTGAGTCCCCCTCCCGTCTGGTTCACTCCGCATAGGTGGTGGCCGACGTCGACCACGGGGGTGGGAGACGCTGAGCCCGACCGACGCATGCACCAGCACCCCCCACCCCGGCTCTTGCACCGAGAGAGGAAATGGGCCCGAATGCGGCCGGCGGCCGGGGCGCCATGTTGAGCCAGGAGGCGAGCATTCAACAGATGGCACGTCGAAGGTGCTGCAAGCCCGGACTGGAGCCCTCACATTGTCGCCCGCCCGCAAAGCCTTCTTCCTCACAACGAAAGGGGTGCCGGTGCCGCCGCCACAACAAACACACAGCCCGTACACGTCACCGGCAAGCAGGGCAAGCCATGGTGCGGAAACAACGGGACCGCCGACCGCCGGGTTTCAGGCTCGCATGCCTCGCAGCTTTGCTTTCTGACGCCGCCAGTGAGCCGCCAAGCTGCTGCGGACCACGGCTGGCGATCCAGAAGCAGCGGGTTGTGGGCACTTTAGGCGCAGTGTTTGGCCTATTGCCAAGGGTACCTGCTTATACTGTGCGTCCTCACTGGGCTGGAACCATGACTGAAGGTTCGATTCGACCGTGCAGTAAATACATAATAGCAGCAGCCCAAGACCCGATCTCCAGCGTCGGATGCGACCCGGGCCCGGCTCACGCAGGTCAGATGGTGGAAATTGCTCCAATGCTGCCGGGGCAGGTGGCCCCCTGCAGACCGGCCGGGGGGAGCTGCCCGTGAGGTGCCAGAGGCCCGGGGAGCAGACGGATTGCCAGGTGTGCCGTGGGCCAGTGGAGGCACCTCCCCGGAGGTACCTAGGTTCCATGCCCGAGACGCGGCCCCGGGGCCACCGGCTCTCGTCTGCACACCACCTGGGCACCTCCACCAGCGCCTGCACAAGCACCTGGGCAGCTGCCGCCTTTCAATACTATTAGGTTGACGGGACCTGGGACCGGGGCAGCCAGCCAAGCCCGTGCGCAGCAGCACCAGCGCCGCCTGGCTGCATCGGATCCATCCAGGAC